CGATTTTTTTCTGTTCGATCGAGTCAAAAAACCACTACTAAGAGGTAATGGAAAAATCGAAGACGGCTCTGAAGGCTATACCGACAATAGAGTTCCAGAAATGTTTCGAGAGCTGGATCAAGCGCTGGCATAAGTGCATTGCAGTCGACGGGGAGTACTTTGAAGGGAACAATATCACTTTTGATGAATAAACTTGTATTTTGAATTTTCTGAATGAATTCCGAGAACTTTTTGATCAAGGTAGTAGATATGTACTTGCATATATACCATATTTGTAGCATTATTCACTACGCGCCGAAATTTCTCCGAACTTTTTACAAACACAGCTAAACTACTGAAATAATATCACAAATTAAATTTTGGTGCTCAATAGACATCTATTTGAGAGATCTTAACCTAGTAGAATCTGTAAATAAATTTAATTATTTGCGAAAAATATTACCTCGGCCGGGAGTCGAATCCGGATCTCTCACATTCCGTATGAGCGTACCAATTGGACTATCGAAGCATAAGACGTAAACTTAAGCCAATAAGCCAATCAGGGTATTGCTTTAGATCGTAGACATATAAGATGACCCAGCATTAGCTATATATCCCTGGGTTTGGCAGAACGGTGCGAGAGGCCAAATATCGGCAATCTATCCTTCTCTGCGCGCGCATCTTGACGGTAAACTTACTTTGATAATACTCAAGAATTCTATCTTCCTCATCAATTTTGATGAAATTAAGCTCATTCGATGCGTTTTTGCATGAAATGAACGAATGTGGCAAAAAAGTGACTCTCTGCCTCGTAGAACGAGATATTAATCGTTGAAGACTATTCAGGTTAGGAAATCTGTTATATCGATGGCATTGAGACATGAGAACATGTAAGTGAGACTAAAATATATATTTTCTGCTTTAATTTCATCAAAATCGGTGAGGAAAGTAGAATTCTTCATATTATCCTTACTTTTATATCTTATTTTATTTTCAGTAATATAAATGTCAATAAGATGCGCGCACAGAGAAGAATAGGTTGCCCCGATATTTTGCCTCTCGCATCGTTCTGCCAAACACAGCATATAGACAAGTATATAAATGCTAGGTTTACCTTATATGTCCATGTTTTAGATTTTAGATCATGCGCGGAGACATAAAACGTTCGAACTCAGGGATGATATTAGCCGCAACTCATATAGGACACTATAGGGCTACAAGATTTTGAAACATATTACCTTACATTCACTGTGTTTACAAATTTTTATTATTATTA